TAGGGGGAAGAATCCAAAGTATTAAAATAATCCTCTAATTTTTGTTTTGACGGAAAAGGATATGATGACAAATAATTCATACAAAAATTTGAAGCATCACTGCCGTAGATATTCCTCTGGCTCAGTGGGGAACATCCTGAAACTCGCACCTCCTGTCTGCAGCTCGGGTTCCAGCTGCATCACGGGGAACACAGCATCTCCTGGGTGCGGGAAGCTGCAAGCATCTGGAATGCTTATTTATTTACCCCACGTTCCAAATGTTTTCTAATTTCCCTTGAGACCTCTTTGATCCATGGATTACTGGTAGTGTGTTGTTTAATCTTAAAGAGTTTGGAGATTTTTTTCTCATTATCTCTTTTTTTGTACATTATGGTTAGAGAACCATCCAATCAAGCTGAGATATGTGGATAATTTTTTATTCCTTTGAGATGGAGTCTCGCTCTGTTGCCCAGGCTGGAGTGCAGTGGTGTGATCTTGGCTCACTGCGACCTCTACCCCCTGGGTTCAAGCGATCCTCCCACCTCACTCTCCTGAGTAGCTGGGATTACAGGCACCCACTACCACACCTGACTGATTTTTGTATTTTTAGTAGAGATGGGGTTTTACCATGTTGGCCAGGCTGGTCTTGAACTCCTGACCTCAGGTGATCCTCCCGCCTCGGCCTCCCAAAGTGCTGGGATTACAGGTGTGAGCCACTGTTCCCGGCCTGTTATGTGGATAATTTTTCAAGTCCCTATGGCTGTCTCACTTCTCACATCTCCCTGTTAACCTCAGGCTAATGGAGTATCTGCTCCTAAAGCTCCAAATCAAGTGAATCCCCTATGGTAGCAGCAGCAGCCAAACTTACTGTTTTCTCAGTATGCCTCACTTTGGTAGAATTGCTGGGCAACAGAGCTGGGTGGGGGTGATTGGAACAGCCCTGTGCAAAAACACCGTGGATCGCACAGTTCTTACCTGACAAGATCAGTAGTTTCCACAAATAAATGCTTCTGTTTTTGTTGTATCCCTTAGGACAAATTCTGGAGTGCTAAAATGGTTGTTTTTGAATTTTGTCCAATTTTAGGATTGCCTTTGAGGGAGATTTCTTAACATCCTCACTCTGTCATGCTGGAAGGCAGAAATTAGTTTTATTAGTAGGTAGGAAGAAAAGTATCTGATTATTGTACTTCTGTTAAATTAACTTATTTATTAAAACATGGAGATGGGTTCCAAACCAGACTTTATTATTTATTTATTTTTTAGACACAGGGTCTTGCTTTATCACCCAGGCTAGAGTACAGTCGCTCAATCATAGCTCACTGTAACCTCAAACTCTTGGGATCAAGCAGTCCTCCTGCCTCAGCCTCCCAAGTAGCTAGGACTATAGGTGTATACCACCATGCCCGGCTAATCTTTAAAAAAACATTTTTTTTTGCCAGGCGCGGTGGCTCACGCCTGTAATCCCAGCACTTTGGGAGGCCGAGGCGGGTGGATCACGAGGTCAAGAGATCGAGACCATCCTGGTCAGCATGGTGAAACCCCGTCTCTACTA